GATCGTACTTTATTCTTGTTTAAAACAAGTTGCGGCAAGTTTATGTCGTCATCAATTAACCCCCCCTCCAAAAAGTTTGCAGTAGTGTACTGAAATTGCTTGGATCTTTTAATATACGGGCCTGATTAATAAATAAATTAGTCCCGTATGTTTCCGTCGGACTTTCGTCCACTACGTTTTATGTTGATCCATAAAAGTTCAACTGAGTTAATTTTCACCGAACGAACCCCAACGCGGTTCTACGAAATTCACGAACGACTTCATTTTAGTTTTAGCAACTTCAAGTTGTACTCATTTAATTGACTTAAATTGGGTCAAATTTTGAATTAAAGTTGAAATTTATTATAAAGCTATAAGAAACATTCTGGTGTGCGTATCTTTATGGTTTTTCTTAAATCGAGTTTTACCATATGGCACGCGGGGACGATGATGACGGTGAAGATTATGTTGAAGAGATAAAGTTGGGCGGGGAGTTAATTTAACCATACTCGAAGTCGCCAAGATCGTAAAACGTAAAATTGCAAGAAGCAAAACGAAGACGTCGAAAAATCTGGTTTTCAATTATTCGGTCGTTAATTAAGCGCTCAGATACTTCTTAAAATAGAGGATGAAGAATTTATTTTTAAAAAAATTGATAAACGTTATCCAATTTTCCCAAGGAACATAAACCGAGGAAAACGGGGAATAGTAAAAAAATCCATATCCTCACTATACCAGTGAGATTTTACTCTTGGTCGGGTGGAAAACCCCGTTTCAACGTCATCGAACGAAAAGCGAACACGTCTTTATTGAATTTCTAGCTGTAAAATATTTATTGTGATAAAAAAATTTCGTTAAAAAACCAGATGGCGTTTACAATTAATTAATTAATGTTATAATTAAGAAAACCGAATTGATTGAGTCCTACGGCTTTGTTGGGTGCATTAAAACGCAATTAACTTCATCGATTGGAAAAAAGCACAAAAGAATGTCAATTAGAGGGACTATAAAATAATTTGTGGCAATTACTCAAACGCGTAAAGTTATCGTATGGATTTATATATCGATAAAATTAATTTTCCAACGGGTTTAAAGTGACTAGTAACGATTTATACACACTTTTAATTGCTTGGAAATAATTAAAAATTAGTATTTTTTTTAAAATGCATTTTTATAAACGGTCTTTTTTATTGAAAAGCTTACTGTTCATTTTATAATTAAGGATAATTTCATAGCGATATCTTAAGAAACTAATTTTTTTATGATTTTTTTAAAAATATAGAAGAAAATTATTTATTTGATAAAACTGGTAAATTTCAACAATTATTTTCTTAAGAACTAAAATGAATTCTTATAAACGGAGTTTTTCATTGAAAAGCTCATTGTTTATTTTATAATTGAGGATTATTTCATAACGATATCTTAAGAAACTAATTTTTTATGATTTTTTTAAAAATATAGAAGAAAATTATTTATTTGATAAAACTGATAAATTTCAAAAATTATTTTCTCAAGAACTAAAATGAATTCTTACAAACTGTTTTTTTCATTGAAAAGCTCATTGTTTATTGTATAATTAAGGATAATTACATAACGATATTTTAAGAAACTAATTTTTTATGATTTTTTTTTAAATATAGAAGAAAATTATTTATTTGATAAAATTGGTAAATTTCAACAATTATTTTTTTAAGAACTAAAATGAATTCTTATAAATGGAGTTGTTCATTAGAAAGCTCATTGTTTATTTTATAATTAAAGATAATTTCATAACGATATCTTAAGACATTATTTTTTTACGATTTTTTTAAGAACATAAAAGAAAATTATTTATTTGATAAAACTGGTAACTTTAAAAAAATACTTTCTCAAGAGCCAAAATGAATTCTTACAAACGGCTTTTTTCATTGAAAAGCTCATTGTTTATTTTATAATTAAGGTTAATTTCATAACGATATCTTAAGAAACTAATTTTTTATGATTTTTTTAAAAATATAGAAGAAAATTATATATTTGATAAAATTGATAAATTTCAACAATTATTTTCTCAAGAACTAAAATGAATTCTTATAAACGGAGTTTTTCATTAGAAAGCTCATTGTTTATTTTATAATTAAGTATAATTTCATAACGATATCTTAAGAAACTAATTTTTTATGATTTTTTTTAAAATATAGAAGAAAATTATTTATTTGATAAAATTGGTAAATTTCAAAAATTATTTTCTCAAGAATTAAAATGAATTCTTACAAACGGTTTTTTTCATTGAAAAGCTCATTGTTTATTGTATAATTAAGGATAATTACATAACGATATTTTAAGAAACTAATTTTTTATGATTTTTTTTAAATATAGAAGAAAATTATATATTTGATAAAATTGATAAATTTCAACAATTATTTTCTCAAGAACTAAATAAAATTTTTAGAAACGGCGTTTTTCATTGAGAAGCTCATTGTTTATTTTATAATTGAGGATAATTTCATAACGATATCTTAAGAAACTAATTTTTTATGATTTTTTTAAAAATATAGAAGAAAATTATATATTTGATAAAATTAATAAATTTCAACAATTAGTTTCTTAAGAACTAAAATGAATTCTTATAAACGGAGTTGTTCATTAGAAAGCTCATTGTTTATTTTATAATTAAGTATAATTTCATAACGATATCTTAAGAAACTAATTTTTTATGATTTTTTAAAAATATGAAAGAAAATTATATATTTGATAAAATTGTTAAATTTCAACAGTTATTTTCTCAAGAACTAAAATGAATTCTTACAAACGGTTTTTTTCATTGAAAAGCTCATTGTTTATTGTATAATTAAGGATAATTACATAACGATATCTTAAGAAACTAATTTTTTATGATTTTTTTGAAAATATAGAAGAAAATTATTTATTTGATAAAACTGGTAAATTTCAAAAATTATTTTCTCAAGAACTAAATAAAATTTTTAGTAACGGCGTTTTTCATTGAAAAGCTCATTGTTTGTTTTATAATTAAGGATAATTTTATAAAGAGATCTTAAGAAATTAATTTTATACTATTTTTTTAAGAACATAGAAGAAAATTATTTATTTGGTAAAACTGATAAATTTCAACAATTATTTTCTCAAGAACTAAATAAAATTTTTAGAAACGGTCTTTTTTATTGAAAAGCTCATTGTTTATTTTATAATTAAGGATAATTTTATAAAGATATCTTAAGAAATTAATTTTTTATGATTTTTTTAAAAATATAGAAGAAAATTATTTATTTGATAAAACTGATAAATTTCAACAATTATTTTCTCAAGAACTTACTAAAATTTTTAGTAACGGCGTTTTTCATTGAAAAGCTCATTGTTTATTTTATAATTAAGGATAATTTTATAAAGATATCTTAAGAAATTAATTTTATACGATTTTTTTAAGAACATAGAAGAAAATTATTTATTTGATAAAACTGATAAATTTCAACAATTATTTTCTCAAGAACTTACTAAAATTTTTAGTAACGGCGTTTTTCATTGAAAAGCTCATTGTTTATTTTATAATTAAGGATAATTTTATAAAGATATCTTAAGAAATTAATTTTATACGATTTTTTTAAGAACATAGAAGAAAATTATTTATTTGATAAAACTGATAAATTTCAACAATTATTTTCTCAAGAACTTACTAAAATTTTTAGTAACGGCGTTTTTCATTGAAAAGCTCATTGTTTATTTTATAATTAAGGATAATTTTATAAAGATATCTTAAGAAATTAATTTTATACGATTTTTTTAAGAACATAGAAGAAAATTATTTATTTGATAAAACTGATAAATTTCAACAATTATTTTCTCAAGAACTTACTAAAATTTTTAGTAACGGCGTTTTTCATTGAAAAGCTCATTGTTTATTTTATAATTAAGGATAATTTTATAAAGATATCTTAAGAAATTAATTTTATACGATTTTTTTAAGAACATAGAAGAAAATTATTTATTTGATAAAACTGATAAATTTCAACAATTATTTTCTCAAGAACTTACTAAAATTTTTAGTAACGGCGTTTTTCATTGAAAAGCTCATTGTTTATTTTATAATTAAGGATAATTTTATAAAGATATCTTAAGAAATTAATTTTATACGATTTTTTTAAGAACATAGAAGAAAATTATTTATTTGATAAAACTGATNTTTGCAGGGCGTTGCCTTGAGTATTAATCCAAATATGTAAAAATTTACAGGGTGTTCCATTTAAAAAAATTAAGTAGGTGGCGACTTCCGGTATAACCGGAAGTGCAAGAAATCTGAAAATATTTTAGTCAAAGAGATCGTAATTAATAATACTTAAGTCTGAATTCTCAAATTTTTATTTTCGCCAGAACCCTAGAAACGTCTAATGACCGGTCTCGCTGAGACACCCTGTATATTTATATATATTTATATATATTTTTATATATTTATATATATATTTTCTCAAAAACTAAAACGAATTTCTAAAAATGGTCTTTTCGATCGATATATTTATTTTGTAATTAGGATTTAATTGTATAAAGATATCTCGAGTATTTTCAAGGTAAAAAACAAATTGTTAAAAAATCATCAAATGGGTAATAATTCAAGAATTAAAATTTATGGAGAACAACTTTATGTATAAAAATTATTCATAATGACTCAAAAATTTATAATTTATAACCTATATAAACCTGCTTGTCACCATTTTTTTCGAATCATGGGAAAAATCCCAGAAAAGTCAAAATGAATGATTATTCTAAAAATCTCAATAACTCAAAAATTAAAACTTGTGGAGAAAAACTTCGTTAATAAAAATTGTTCATAATAAATCGAGACATGTAATTAATAATTAAATGTACCTTAATTATTTGCGATTTCTTCGGGATGGATTCAAAAGTCAAGGTGATCTAAAAAGTGGCAACTTTAGTTATAAAAATTGATTCAAATTAACATCTAATTGTAAATTTTACGCATAAATGTTTCATTATATTGTTTATAATGTTAATGATTCTATTTTTTGTTACAGGTGCTGATTTTTTTGTTGGTAGTTTCGTTCGTACGCAAAGTGTTTCGAGTTTTTTTAGTGCCGTAGCTCGAGTTCCGTTCCGTTTCGTTGCTTCTCAGTGTGCCGTGTGTGACTCGCGTCGCGACGCCTTCGGAGCGCAGTGCGTCGGGCGCGCTTCCATAGCAACGACGCCGTCGTCGCGACGCCGTTTTTGTATAAACCGGGAGAAGTAGGAGATGGAGGAGAACCCCCGGAACAAACAGCTCAGGTACGTTGTCCCATTTTTAAACACAAATTTTGCGCAAGCGCCAAATAATTCCTCAAAAAATTCATTATCATTATATATATAAATTATATGTGAAAAAGTTTTATCTTAACTTTAAAATTACGTAATGATCTCATTCGGAGCTATTACAATGTAAAAAGCTGTTTGGTTAAGTTTATTATCATACTTTTTTAACACCAAGATAACAAGATGTTATGATGACGTGTGAAATCGTTTCGCCGAGCTTACATCTTTTTAAATTTGATATGTATCTCAATTTTTCAAAATGTTACATACAAAGTATTAATCTTAAAATGAAAACAAAGAATTCCTTTTCGAATTAAAACCATTCATTTTATTACCGACTCCTACAATTTTGTTTGCTTTTAAATGCAGACGGTGTTGTTGTTAGGGCTTTTATAAAGCTCCCCGGTAATAATCTAGCCCCGCGGTATTAAACTACTACAAACAAGCTTCGTGGAGTTTTAGAAGCCACCGCCCCAGAAATTCAATTCTAGTCGGATTGCACTGCACCCAGCCTTGAGGCGATTGCACTCCCTTATTGAGACGACTACTACGACGTCGACGGGACTGCTAGATAAGAAAAGCTCGTAAAAGCTCGCACCAATTCCGCGACCTAATAAATAAAAATTACGTTACGTTAGGTAGACGTACGTATTACAGTGGGAATAGAGTAAAATTGTTTACTTAAACTTCTTGAATAAAGAAAATATTTCTTTTCGCTTCAAAAATAGGAGATTAATCTTGGCCAACAATCGACATCGATCTCATTTTCTCAATGGCGATAATCCGACAGAGCTTTCAAACCAACTTTCTTTATCGTTCGTAATCAACTTTACCAGAAGGACTTAAGAATCTAAAACTTTTTCATTTAATAGAAAACTTCGTCAAAATACATTCAGAGTATTTGACGGTTTATGTATATAAATCGTTTTATTAAAAGTCATATATGCTATATAACTAGAGAAGTATCGAAATCTAACAAAAAAGCTTGTTGATTGTAGCCCCTCGGCCGAAAAATACCTTGGCTTAAACATAAAGTTTCTTGTCCTTGAGATATAAATAATCCCGTTTCATCATGGTGTGAATTCTTAAGTTGAAATTTTTCAGTTTATGTATAACCCGTTGATTATAACGATAAAACTATTTTTTGTTGAAACTAGATTAAATTTGCTATAAAATACCTTTTTGAAAGAAATTTCTGAAATTTGTAGGAACAAAGAAACAATTTTGAATGCATGAAATATTAATTAAATTTGCTTTAATTAAAATGAGATTTTTTTTTCATGATGATATCTCAATTAGTTTTTGAGATACAACTTTTTAAATTACTTAATTCAAAGTTATATTAAAAAAATCGTTTCACCGGGATAAATAGATAAAATTAATTAAATAGATAAAAGTAGATTAAATTTGCTATAAAATGGTTTTTACATCGTAATGATATCTCATTTATTTTTTGAGATATGATTTTTTCAAAATAAGTAGTTATAAAGTTGTCATAAAATAAAATTGTTTATAACTCAAAAATTAAAAGTTGTGGATGAGAGTGATATTAATAAAAATTGTTCATAATAAATCACAAAAACATAATCCATAAACGATTTTTTTGTAATTGTTACGAATTTTTAGTTATTAACCGTAAAATCCAAAAATGTTTAAATTGACGTTTTTGGACGAAAATATTTAATATAGCTCAAAATCCAGAAATGGTAGGAGAAAATTATTTGGATGAAAATTATTTGTAATGAACCAAAAAATTGGCATCCACAAGAGATTATAACCTAAGTTTGCTTATTACCAACCTAACGGATATAAAATACCAAACATATCGAATTTGGCGCATTTAACAACGAAATAATATTTAAATCAAAAATTAAAAGTTGTGGATCAGAATGATATTAATAAAAATTGTTCATAATAAATCACAAAAACATAATCCATAAACATTTTTTTTGTAATTGTTACAAATTTTTAGTTCTTGAGTGTAAAATACAAAAATGTTTAAATTAACGATTTTGGACAAAAAAATGTGATATAATTCAAAAACCAGAAATGGTAGGAGAAAATTTTTTGGATGAAAATTATTTGTAATGAACCAAAAAAATGGTATCCACTAGAGATTAGAACCTAAGTTTGCTTATTACCAACCTAACGGTTTTAAAACACTAAAAATATCGAATTAGGCGCATTTAGTAACGAAATCATTTTTAAATCAAAAATTAAAAGTTGTGGATGAGAAAGACATTAATAAAAATTGTTCGTAATAAATCACAAAAAGATAATCCATAAACGATTTTTTTGTAATTGTTACAAATTTTTAGTTCTTGAGTGTAAAATACAAAAATGTTTAAATTAACGATTTTGGACAAAAAAATGTGATATAATTCAAAAACCAGAAATGGTAGGAGAAAATTTTTTGGATGAAAATTATTTGTAATGAACCAAAAAAATGGTATCCACTAGAGATTAGAACCTAAGTTTGCTTATTACCAACCTAACGGTTTTAAAACACTAAAAATATCGAATTAGGCGCATTTAGTAACGAAATCATTTTTAAATCAAAAATTAAAAGTTGTGGATGAGAAAGACATTAATAAAAATTGTTCGTAATAAATCACAAAAAGATAATCCATAAACGATTTTTTTGTAATTGTTACAAATTTTTAGTTCTTGAGTGTAAAATACAAAAATGTTTAAATTAACGATTTTGGACAAAAAAATGTGATATAATTCAAAAACCAGAAATGGTAGGAGAAAATTTTTTGGATGAAAATTATTTGTAATGAACCAAAAAAATGGTATCCACTAGAGATTAGAACCTAAGTTTGCTTATTACCAACCTAACGGTTTTAAAACACTAAAAATATCGAATTAGGCGCATTTAGTAACGAAATCATTTTTAAATCAAAAATTAAAAGTTGTGGATGAGAAAGACATTAATAAAAATTGTTCGTAATAAATCACAAAAAGATAATCCATAAACGATTTTTTTGTAATTGTTACAAATTTTTAGTTCTTGAGTGTAAAATACAAAAATGTTTAAATTAACGATTTTGGACAAAAAAATGTGATATAATTCAAAAACCAGAAATGGTAGGAGAAAATTTTTTGGATGAAAATTATTTGTAATGAACCAAAAAAATGGTATCCACTAGAGATTAGAACCTAAGTTTGCTTATTACCAACCTAACGGTTTTAAAACACTAAAAATATCGAATTAGGCGCATTTAGTAACGAAATCATTTTTAAATCAAAAATTAAAAGTTGTGGATGAGAAAGACATTAATAAAAATTGTTCGTAATAAATCACAAAAAGATAATCCATAAACGATTTTTTTGTAATTGTTACAAATTTTTAGTTCTTGAGTGTAAAATACAAAAATGTTTAAATTAACGATTTTGGACAAAAAAATGTGATATAATTCAAAAACCAGAAATGGTAGGAGAAAATTTTTTGGATGAAAATTATTTGTAATGAACCAAAAAAATGGTATCCACTAGAGATTAGAACCTAAGTTTGCTTATTACCAACCTAACGGTTTTAAAACACTAAAAATATCGAATTAGGCGCATTTAGTAACGAAATCATATTTAAATCAAAAATTAAAAGTTGTGGATGAGAAAGACATTAATAAAAATTGTTCGTAATAAATCACAAAAAGATAATCCATAAACGATTTTTTTGTAATTGTTACAAATTTTTAGTTCTTGAGTGTAAAATACAAAAATGTTTAAATTAACGATTTTGGACAAAAAAATGTGATATAATTCAAAAACCAGAAATGGTAGGAGAAAATTTTTTGGATGAAAATTATTTGTAATGAACCAAAAAAATGGTATCCACTAGAGATTAGAACCTAAGTTTGCTTATTACCAACCTAACGGTTTTAAAACACTAAAAATATCGAATTAGGCGCATTTAGTAACGAAATCATTTTTAACTCAATAATTAAAAGTTGTGGATGAGAATGATATTAATAAAAATTAATCATAATAAATCACAAAAACATAATCCATAAACGATTTTTTTGTAATTGTTACGAATTTTTAGTTCTTGCCTGTAAAATCCAAAAATGTTTAAATTGAAGTTTTTGGATAAAAAATGTGATATAATTCAAAAACCAGAAATGGTAGGAGAAAATTATTTGGATGAAAATTATTTGTAATGAACCAAAAAATTGGTATCCACAAGACATTATAACCTAAGTTTGCTGATTACCAACCTAACGGGTTTAAAACACTAAAGATATCGAGTTTGACGCTTTTAACAACGAAATAATATTTAAATCAAAAATTGAAAGTTGTGGATGAGAAAGACATTAATAAAAATTGTTCGTAATAAATCACAAAAATAAACGATTTTTTTGTAATTGTTACAAATTTTTAGTTCTTGAGTGTAAAATACAAAAATGTTTAAATTAACGATTTTGGACAAAAAAATGTGATATAATTCAAAAACCAGAAATGGTAGGAGAAAATTTTTTGGATGAAAATTATTTGTAATGAACCAAAAAAATGGTATCCACTAGAGATTAGAACCTAAGTTTGCTTATTACCAACCTAACGGTTTTAAAACACTAAAAATATCGAATTAGGCGCATTTAGTAACGAAATCATTTTTAACTCAATAATTAAAAGTTGTGGATGAGAATGATATTAATAAAAATTAATCATAATAAATCACAAAAACATAATCCATAAACGATTTTTTTGTAATTGTTACGAATTTTTAGTTCTTGCCTGTAAAATCCAAAAATGTTTAAATTGAAGTTTTTGGATAAAAAATGTGATATAATTCAAAAACCAGAAATGGTAGGAGAAAATTATTTGGATGAAAATTATTTGTAATGAACCAAAAAATTGGTATCCACAAGACATTATAACCTAAGTTTGCTGATTACCAACCTAACGGGTTTAAAACACTAAAGATATCGAGTTTGACGCTTTTAACAACGAAATAATATTTAAATCAAAAATTG